CGATCCCCATGTGATTGCATGGTGGCGATCCCCATGTAACTGCATGGTGGCGATCCCCATGTGATTGCGTGGTGGCGATCCCCATGTAACTGCATGGTGGCGATCCCCATGTGACTGCATGGTGGCGATCCCCATGTAACTGCATGGTGGCGATCCCCATGTGACTGCATGGTGGCGCTCCCATGTAACTGCATGGTGGCGCTCCCCATGTGACTGCATGGTGGCGATCCCCATGTGATTGCATGGTGGCGATCCCCATGTGACTGCATGGTGGCGATCCCCATGTGATTGCATGGTGGCGATCCCCATGTAACTGCATGGTGGCGATCCCCATGTGATTGCATGGTGGCGATCCCCATGTGACTGCATGGTGGCGATCCCCATGTGATTGCATGGTGGCGCTCCCCATGTAACTGCATAATGGCGCTCCCCATGTAACTACATGGTGGCGCTCACCATGTAACTACATGGTGGCGCTCACCATGTAACTACATGGTGGCGCTCACCATGTAACTGCATAATGGCGCTCACCATGTAACTACATGGTGGCGCTCACCATGTAACTGCATAATGGCGCTCACCATGTAACTACATGGTGGCGCTCACCATGGAACTGCATAATGGCGCTCACCATGTAACTACATGGTGGCGCTCACCATCACATTTCTGTTGATCTGAATATTTTATAACTCATTACTTTCATTAAACATCTTCAAACATCTCTCCCGCTTTTCATTACTATCAATGTTTACATAACTTACACTCATCAATGGAACATCCTGCAGATATGACCCAGTTGAACAATGTCTCAGTGAAATTACATGTTTTTCCTGTCTCTTATTAATTAACCTTAGTTCGTAAATCTTATTTTTCGCACGATGAATATTTGAATAACATTTGCTGGCAAAAAATTTCTTCTGTATTTCTCCTCCGTTTACATTTTTCTTCACTTCTATTATGAAACAGTCATATAACAATACATTTGCAGGAAAGAAAAGAAAATTTCAACTTAAGACTAACATTATATAGCTTAAGAAATGTTAACATATTGACTTTCACGCATGAATAATGTCTAGAAGACACAACTCACACGGTAAAAAGATACGGTGAAGGAGTTGAGCTCCCAGATCATGATTTTCTTCGAGTCATCTAAGACGTCCCTCAGTGACTGGAATGGCTGAGGAATGTTTTTCACTGCCAGGAGGGCCATGAGGTTTCCAGAGTAACTTCGTGTTAGCACCAGCGTCACCATCGCCCACATCACCAGCAACACTCTCTCCCACCACCACCATCCACGAGGTTCGTCGACGTCTGTGGGAAAAATCCAAGAAGAGTTTCAATTAGCAATACGAGATTTTGTAAGAGTATTTGTTGTAATAATAGTAAAATACGTTAATGCATTTGTTGTAGAAGTTGTAGCTACAAAAGCAGTAGTAGCTGTTAAATCTGGTTGAATAGAAGTATTAACAATGGTAGTTTGTGTTTCATCTGAGGGAGAGGCAGTGACATGAATACTTGTTAGTTTGCTACCTCTGATGAGGGAAAGGCAGTGACATGAATACTTGTTAGTTTGCTACCTCTGATGAGAGAAAAGCAGTGACATGAATACTTGTTAGTTTGCTACCTCTGATGAGAGAAAGGCAGTGACATGAATACTCGTTAGTTTGCTACCTCTGTTGAGGGAAAGACAGTGACATGAATACTTGTTAGTTTGCTACCTCTGATGAGAGAAAGGCAGTGACATGAATACTCGTTAGTTTGCTACCTCTGATGAGGGAAAGGCAGTGACACGAATACTTGCTAGTTTGCTACCTCTGCTGAGAAAAGGCAGTGACATCAATACTTGTTAGTTTGCTACCTCTGATGAGAGAAAGGCAGTGACATGAATACTTGTTAGTTTGCTACCTCTGTTGAGGAAAAGACAGTGACATGAATACATGTTAGTTTGCTACCTCTGCTGAGGGAAAGGCAGTGACATGAATACATGTTAGTTTGCTACCTCTGTTGAGGGAAAGACAGTGACATGAATACTTGTTAGTTTGCTACCTCTGTTGAGGGAAAGACAGTGACATGAATACATGTTAGTTTGCTACCTCTGCTGAGGGAAAGGCAGTGACATGAATACATGTTAGTTTGCTACCTCTGCTGAGGGAAAGGCAGTGACATCAATACTTGTTAGTTTGCTACCTCTGATGAGGGAAAGGCAGTGACATCAATACTTGTTAGTTTGCTACCTCTGCTGAGGGAAAGGCAGTGACATCAATACTTGTTAGTTTGCTACCTCTGCTGAGGGAAAGGCAGTGACATCAATACTTGTTAGTTTGCTACCTCTGCTGAGGGAAAGGCAGTGACATCAATACTTGTTAGTTTGCTACCTCTGCTGAGGGAAAGACAGTGACATGAATACTTGTTAGTTTGCTACCTCTGCTGAGGGAAAGACAGTGACATCAATACATGTTAGTTTGCTACCTCTGCTGAGGGAAAGGCAGTGACATGAATACTTGCTAGTTTGCTACCTCTGCTGAGGGAAAGGCAGTGACATGAATACTTGCTAGTTTGCTACCTCTGCTGAGGGAAAGACAGTGACATGAATACTTGCTAGTTTGCTACCTCTGCTGAGGGAAAGGCAGTGACATGAATACTTGCTAGTTTGCTACCTCTGCTGAGGGAAAGACAGTGACATCAATACATGTTAGTTTGCTACCTCTGCTGAGGGAAAGACAGTGACATGAATACTTGTTAGTTTGCTACCTCTGCTGAGGGAAAGGCAGTGACATGAATACTTGCTAGTTTGCTACCTCTGCTGAGGGAAAGGCAGTGACATGAATACTTGCTAGTTTGCTACCTACCGGTGCTGAGATAATCGTAACAGCAACAGAAAAAAATGATGATACTGTAAGGATGAGCATTAGAAGCTGTTACTTCTGCTGTTATTTTTGTTACTTCTATTGTCAATAATTACTTTGATATTAAATAATGAGGGAACCTTGTACAATTCAATAATAATGTTCTTAGGGAACGGCATAAGGAACTTAGGCGATTTATCTTCAAAACAAGATAGCATGGTAAACTATGTAGTAACGTCTAAACTTGCGAACATAAAGTTCTCAAAAATATTCCCATTCTGAAATTTAGCAATAAGGTTTACGTTATTTTTATATGACTTCCGAGATATTATCTTCCATTTGGGTTAGCACTTTGACCAACCTTTTGGACAACTTATACACTGATGACCTGATGGAGATTTTAATGGGTCTCCTTGGAAATCCCGGTTAATGGGTCTTAATAGACCCCATACATATACGGAAGTGTTTGCTGATTTCATTACCTTTAAGTAACATTTTAAGCTTTTTATTGAACTTATTTTTCACCTGGTCGAGTGGGCTCTTATGAAGAGGAACTTAAGTTTCTCTGTCTTCTTGTAAAAGATTCATTTTCCTAATATAACCCTCCAGGTTCATAATCGCTACTACACTCACTTTGCCTGCTTTCGTAAAATGACGTCTAAGATACTTTCTTAGTCCTTGGTTTGACTCAACAAATCACTGAGGGATATTCGAGTCAACTGGTCTGAGTATAGCTCCATACACCATGACTTTGCAAATGTTGAGTGTTTCAAGGGATGAATCCAGGTGTTCTTCCATACCTGGAGTTTACCTGGAGAGAGTTCCGGGGGTCAACGCCCCCGCGGCCCGGTCTGTGACCAGGCCTCCTGGTGGATCAGAGCCTGATCAACCAGGCTGTTACTGATGGCTGCACGCAAACCAACGTACGAGCCACAGCCCGGCTGGTCAGGAACCGACTTTAGGTGCTTGTCCAGTGCCAGCTTGAAGACTGCCAGGGGTCTATTGGTAATCCCCCTTATGTATGCTGGGAGGCAGTTAAACAGTCTCAGGCCCCTGACACTTATTGTATGGTCTCTTAACGTGCTAGTGACACCCCTGCTTTTCATTGAGGGGATGTTGCATCGTCTGCCATTCCCAGTGCAATTTACTGAATTTATTAATGAGCGTAGTCGATTGCAAATTTGTAGTTGAAGGAAATAATTATGCCTAAAATCATAGAATGATCATCGATATGTTCTTACAGAGGCTTTGTTCACTTGTCGTGTCTATTAAAGTATACAGTGGAAAAGGAAATAGACTGCAAACTTCCCTTCTGGATGTTTTGATCTACCTTGCTGATAGAAATAAAAAAACAATTACATTCACTGTATATAGGAAGGCCACCAGTATTTGTCCATTGCTGCTTCAGTTACCAAAGCAACGTAAAAAAAAAAGGGTATCTTTCTCACTATGTTTCAGAGAGCCTTGCGAGTTTGTAACCCAGAGTTTCTGGATGAGGAAATTACGAAATTCTTTGATATATCGGCGAACCTACTGTACGCTAAGGAGTCTGTAGAAAAAGACTTAGATAACAGTTAGTTAAACTTATAGAACTGAACCTAGGGAAATCCATTGGCTAGAAATGTGTTTCGTCTCCCCTAAAACGTGAATATATCTGTTTGGCTAAATACCCTAAAATTATTGACCATACATGTAGTATACACGAATTCAGTAATGGTTAAGAACGTGTTGAAGAATTCACCAAAAAACTGTGTAGGTGGTGTTTACAAAGCAGGATGCAGCGGTTGTTGTTTATCTTAGGTTAGTACAACACCGATTCCAGGTCCGAACAGCACAAGAATCTAATGCAATTGAATCACAGGCGAACATGCAATAACTATGGAAAAAGGTAGGAAGCCATATTTACTGTCCCTAGTTCTAATTGCCAAGAAAGAAATATTTTAGAAGCGAAAATTATGAAACTTGATAAACTTTCAGTACTTGATAAAAGCTTAGGTTTGTGCAAAGTAGAAATGTTTACAAAATAGGCGAAATAACAATGTTAAGATGAGTTACACGACTTCACTGGATTTCTTTAAATTTCATTGTTCTACGCTGACATCTCAGTTGGTTGCTAAGAGCTAATATCTGACCTGCCTCTTTTGTGTTTAATGG